CGTCATTGTACTCAACATTTGTAGCATTATAATACGTAGTCGCTGGGAAAAAGTCTCGTTTACCAGCTTTACAGTTCCGTATAACTACACAGCTGCGAGTGTAGAAATGGTCAAAGCCGAGCTCGATAAAAAGTCATATATATTCATGAGCAATATACAATATTATCTCAAGAGACTCTTGCGAGCTACAGTTGTATCTCTGTACGTATATACGTATATAATAACGCAGCAGCCAGTGGCGCACTGGTCTGCGACAAAATTGCGTCTCTTAAAGCAGATATACACTTCGAGGTGTTTTCATCTCTCTTTCTCTCTTTTTCTTTCTTTCTTTTCCTGTTTTTTTTTTATTTTGCCCCAAGTTTTCGCAACTTTTTCGAGAGATCTTGCCATAACGCACATGGACCTCAGTTGCCAGCAACAATGCATCTTAACTTGCTGTGTGTGTGTGTGTGTGTGTTATACACCAAGAGTTCCGTGCAAAATTCCCCAAAGACTCTTCGTAATTATCAACTTAATTATCATGGTTGAGAGAGCGATTAGCGCGCAGTGCGACTTTTTTAGCTCTCGGGGAAAATTGCCAGGAAAGAAAAGCCCCGGCCTCGTTTGCCTGCGCCGTACAAAGAGGCAAAGAGTCAAAGAGAGAGAGAGAAAGATGAACTTGTGTTTTATCGTCGCCGGGGCACTCGTACATACAGAGAGTAAAAACGAGGCACCGCTAAGTACTTTAATCAGAGCTCAACTATATGTATTTTTTTAAATCTTAACTATTTTCGCATCCGATGGAAAATTAATTCACCGCACTCGGTACAGATACCGCGTGTAAAAGCCCCTTTTCGCAGCGGATCGCGTGTCTGACTGTGAGTAGTGTAGCTCAACGTACTCCCAACTGCGCTCCGTGTATAATGTAAAGGTGCGGATATACATCTAGACATGTAACGTGTCTATATATATACACGAAATCTCTTCGAACGCGGAGTATGTACACACAACGACACATTTGCAAATCTCTGACGTTGGCATATATATACGGGATCGCTGCGCGAGACGCTTCATTTGCATCTTGCTTCAAATTGAAAATGTATAATGTACGTATGGTGTATATCTTGAGATCTCTCTCTCTCTGTGCATACATTAGCTTCCAAAACGCCTGAAATTCGGTTGACGCTTTTGTCCCTCTCACTTTATGCCTATACTATTTACTAAGTGCGCGCCGCACAGCCGTGGGTAACAATAACAATGATATACACTATACTGCCTGCCTGCCTGCACCTCTGCAGTGATCAGTAGGCCATTAGGCGAGATTAGCCTCGGCGTCTCTTAAAATTAATATAGTACATACAGCTTACACACACAGCACAGAGGGGATGCGGGGTGAGCGCAGTTGTCTCGAGAAACATGTTGCAGAAGCAGCAGCAGCAGCAGCCAAGCCTGCTGCGCAGCGTATACAACGTCTTGGCCTCCTTTGGCACACGGATAATATCCAAGAATTTCCCACTGTTTGCGCGCGCGCGAAGTCAGGCGAGCGGGAAGCGAGGACGGTAAAGTATATAAGACTTGCGGCATAGTTCATCGAGTTACCCCCGCGCGCGCTCGGCTCGGCTAAGCTCTCTTATATATATAGGCGTGCGTCGCGCGAGAGAATAATATATAAATATACGCAAATTGTAACGATGAAAAATAGTCGATGCGGAATTGGATAAATCGCTCGAATTTCGAGTGATTAAATTCGAGAGCATAAATTCTTATATCTTCGCTGTAAAGGATAAAAAACAATTTTTTTTTTTCATTTCATTGTACACGAGATTATCTGCGTCGCGAAAAATGTACAATCGACGCGCGCGATTAGACTAGAGCGAGCGTAGAGCAAAGTTTTTCTCTACCCCTCGCCAAATATCGCATGCACTTTGCATGCTCGCGCGTATACATAAAACATTTAACAAAGTTATATCCAATGGCCGTGTTTGAATATATTTACGTCGAAAATCGCATTCCACGTAAATATATAAACGATAAAGACCGAAAAAATGGAGTGTAATTTTTCTTTTTCGCGTTTTGTGCGTACGCGGCACAAAAGAGAGAGAAAGAGAAAAAAATTGTCCCTAAAAGCTCACGCAACATTTTATCGAACAATAAATCAAAAGTGCGGTGCTTCCCGCGCTTTTAAAACCGGATAACTCATATAAAATGGACGTATTTCAGATCTCCGAGAGCAGCGGCGTATTGTATTATATACATAATATACGGACAGACCGCCAGCATCATTATTCCGAGCATATATTTCGAATTTTCATTCAGGATATCTCAAATTTGCCTCCCGTAAATATTATGTACAAGAGAAAATTTATTTATGTATTTTGTTTGCAGCTTCCGTAGTGATAAGGGATCTTACCGGGAAAATCATTTAGAATCTCACATGGTATTTTACGTCATAATATAACATTTACAATATATTATAGTGATAATGATTGTTTTTAGTCGAGAGCTTTTTAGTCGGCAATTTTTAGAAGAGTCCCTAGTCTCACTTTACTTTATCTGGGCATATGCAGAAGTTGTTGAGAGAGCTCTCAGAAATTAAATAAAGCAAGAAGATACATCTTACATTGCCTTCTCATTATTCCTACCTGCCCATAAGAATATAGGGTACTTGGACCAGTGATTGACCGCTTTCGACATGTAAATGACCATTTTTGGATGAGCAGTTATTATTCTTTTTTCTTGTCTTATGATATTTGGACATAGAAAGTAAAATACACAATCTGAAGGAAAAAGATTTTTAAAAAAAAAATCATGCTTTGACTTATACAATTATTTTTACTTTGCAACTTGCAGATTTATAACAAAAAGGTACTAGCCATCTAATGGTGGAAGTTTAAAGTAGTATCGTTGTATCCAAAAGTGTTGAAAACTAGTCTAAATTTTTCAAAGCAAATAAATTGTTGTTATCAGATCATGTATAATACAAAAGTTAATTGTAATAGTACTTATAACGTTAAATAAGCATTTCAACATTCATTGTGCAAGGTGACCTCTATGTATTCGATGTACAATTTAGATTTATATTCGATTTAGATTTAGATTCGTAAAATATACCAGGTTTATTAATAAATTTTCTGAATAATCATGATGTTTTTCTTGGGACGCACGATTGATGTAATTTTAACCACAGGGCCTAGGAAAATATAAAATTTAGCTATGTAGACGATCTTTGTTTTGTGCATGTGATTCGTCACCCATTTTTTATTATTTGACGAATGAATGCGTGTACATTTAGCTATTGCACAATTTATAGAAACGATGACGATTTCAATATCGATTTTGTATAGCAGCAAGTTTTATCCTAAACGTAATTTTCACATTGATATGATGAGCTTGTTGATTTCATCAACAGATGGAGCATTGTAAATTCGCAAGTGGCAAACGATTTTCCGATTGCTATATGTACAAAGAAATTTTCCTATCCTTCGAAAATTGGCTCACGTTTCGATGTGATACATGTAAATACACACATTATTTTTACTCGTAGGATATTGCTCTGGTGTAATGTGGAATTTGAAGCGTCGCGTCGTATCATTGCGCAGCTAGATCTCATACCAAATGGACGCAATTACGATTCTCGAATTCGGAGAAGCAGCTTTTATGAGTTCGATCGGCCTTTGCCGTTTCTTCTGTCACTGCTGCCGCTGCCAAGCGTGAAAACGTACGAGGATAATTCTCTTTATCCTCCGTTGCACCGCCGTGTCATAATACGCATATACCGCACTTGGGTGCGTGGCGCAACGGCGCAATAACTGCTAATATAACACGCGACGCCGATGGATTTACTTCGATACTCGCGCGGAGAGATTTTTCGCGCTCCATCTCTCTCTCTCTTACTCGCTCGCAGAGCCAAAGGGAGAGACAGAGACGGAGAGTATGGGAGACGAATTGAGATTCGGATCGTCGTCTCGTCGACGGCGACGCGGCGTAGTGCAGCGTTGGTCTCTCTCGCTTGGATTTATTCCCGCGAGACGTAGCAATCTCTGCGTGCCTCGAGACACATCGAATGGATATACATAGATCCGTGGCGTTGCTGCTCCAGCATGTACAGCACTGTTATACGTATACAGGGTACATCTTATCTTACTATATATATAGACGATACAGATCCTCTCCTCCGAGATCCCCTCCTCCAGGCTCCCCTCCCACCCCTCCTCTGACATGTTATTGTTAATAACATTTATAAATTTCTAAAAAAAAATATAATTCGTTTATTATAAATAAAGTAAAAGAATAGGCAAAACTATAGGTTTGAGTTTTGCACTATTATAAAGAATATCGTTTCCACATTACCTAAGAACAGTATTAGTTCTTGCATATTTTACATTCCCAAAAAAAAAGGTTTTTTCCTCATTTTCCATGTTTTTTGGCCCTCCGCAAGCCATCAAATTGTCTGTAATAGAGACTCAGTTATGAAACTTTATCAGAAGTTGTATTTTGGTGTATCGATGAACATATAACAATATGGGCTGGTTTGAATTTTACGTCAAATTTTACATGAAAATACATGGTTTAAAAATTTTTTCATATCCACCCCAAAAACAGAGTAACAAGCAGAATATCTTCAAAACATAAAAATCCAACTTTGAGCCCCTGTAGATCCATGAGGGTTGACCTAGGGGGCTGTGCTCTTCAGGATTTTCATTTTTCATTGTGTTCTTGAAGAGTAAATGGTTAGTTTCAACTTCATTTTTTGGGCCTGCAACACCTGTTGTGGAATAGCCCATGTATATATTTCAGGCTTGTAGCATTAATTCTCATGTTACGGGGAATGAAGATAGAAGAAGGCAAGCTGTTAATATAGTCTCGTGTGGTGCATTTTTCGTCGAAACAAATTTGAGCAATGATGGGATTACCCTAATAATTTTCCTCGTACGAATAGTTGTAGTAAGTTGCATGTGTTCTAATGTGTTGTATTTTATGATCGAGGATTTATTTACTTTAATATTAATATTAGAAACTAGGTAGTGGGAATGTTTAGAAATAGGCCTGATCTTTTACTAGATGCTAATCCTTTTGTTCTTTTACCACCATCCCCGCCAGCTGAACCTTTAAGAGTACCAAGACCTCGGGTAATACCACCTTATCAAAGACCTCAAGAGCGTCAAGAATAAGTATAAGGTAATTTTTTTATACCAATTTTTTTATAAATATTAATAAAATAATTAACACGTTAGCAATCGTATATGCTGAGACTTATGTACAATCACTTTTATTTTATCACTTGCAGATTTGCAGATGTAGATACCTCGCCATCTAGTGGTGGATGCTGTAAGTAGTACTATTCAAAGCGGTTGAACATAGAGGATAATCAGTATTTATCTTTCATATTCTCTTATGTTTCTCTTATACATCAGTGTTAAATTCAACCGTTTGAGAGAATTGGCAATGCAACATCTGCCGTGAGTGCGTCAACTATAATCCGCGCAGTCAAAGAAATTAGCTTGTAAAGAAACGGACTGAGAAACTCAAAATTTTCGATGAAAACGGGGGTAGTTATCATACCCCTAAATTAAAATGTGCTTATTAAATTTGCGCTAAATGGCAATGAGCACGAAATAACTCGTTGGGACTTTTCAATAATATCAATACCATCTGAGTTGCGATGTTTCGAAAGTCAAACATCGTAAATTTTCTCAGTTTCTATAACTTCGAGCTCGAGTATTCAAGAAATGGTTCTTTTCATAACTCCCAACAGTATCCTATTAGTTAAATTGAATGAAACGACCGCCTATAACACTTTTTTCAATGGTAAGCGCGACTCTCGAGCATTGAGACGTTTCGGTGCGTCACCTAGAGCACCATAGACGCGTCATCGGATATAATAAGCCGGCCATTCGAGTGATATCACGCGTTAACTTTGGTACGCGATAGAATCGATGCTTGAAAAGTTTTCGTCGTTCGAAAATCGGCTCTACCCCAGCACCTCGCGAGTCGTTGCGAATATCACCGGGGGAAAAAAAAATCTCACTAGCATCGGTGGTAGAATACGTACAATAATGCATCGCCACCGCCAACATCGAAGCGACTCGAAACAAGGATCGAGTCTCGGTGCGGAGGGATTACACAACAGAAAAAATCACGTCAGAAGTACGAGACGAGTCGCGCATAACGACGAGGATCCGTATACCATAGACGAGCACGGATCTTCAACGGCAGAGCCGATACAGTGCATAAGACGATGATATTTCGTAGTCACGTCGCCGTGGAAAGATGCTACAATACAAAAGACATCTCTCTCTCTCTCTCTCTCTGGGCTGGAACGAGTAAACACGCGTTTGATCGAGCTCTGCTATTTTGATCGTTGTGAGTCGTAATTTTGTGCCGTTAATTTCGCTCTTTTTTGTGCGAGTGTGAAAATTTGCATTGCACTTTTTACTGAGTTCGCTGTTAGGTGAGCTGCATACAGCTTGTGTTAAAGGTGAAAAAGTTGACTTATCGATTCGCAGTGATTTTTGCCGTTTGCTCGTGTGTTGTTGTGTCTTGCTTGGTTTGTTTACATGCTGATCGAGAGTCTTATACGCTACTAGAGCTCGGCGTATTGACTTTAAAACTTATTATTGTGCTTGTGGACCCGTATTTTGAACTAAGCGTCGCGACTGCTGTCTGCTGCCCTGTTGTGTTATGCTTGCTGTGTATTGACTTGCTGATGTCTGACGTTGAATGCAAGAGGTGCAAGAACGCTGTTACTGCAGCTGAGTCCACTACCTGTAACGCCTGTGGTTCGTCGTTTCATCTTGACTGTCTGAGCGTTTACCTCGCTCTTCGAACATCGACAAAGTGCTGTGCTGGTCTGTCATCTGCCTCTCTTCCGGAAGCTTCGGTTGCTCGACGTGAGGAGACCGCACGGACTGTTGCATCTACACGAGCGGCTTCCCGCACTTCGAGCCTGGACTCGCGCCGAGGTATTCTTGCCAAGGAGACTGCTGCTGTTTCGATGTCGGCCTCAAACATGCTCTTGCCTGCTGGTGCAGTTCAGCCGGTCGGTGATGGGACCCAGTTGTTTGCTGTGCTCGCCCGGATGGAGGCGACTATGGGAGACTTGAAGGCGACCCTGAGCGACGTCAGTGCCACTTGCTCCGAGCTCAGAGCTGCTTCTGCTGCCACCGATCTCAAGCTCGATAGGGCGATTTCAACCCTCGAGAACCATGCGGGGCGTATCGAGGCTTTGGAGGCTCGTCAGCGGCAAACTGAGCGTTACCTGAGCAAGGCCAAGCCCTGTACGGAGCTTAAAATTGTAGGTATCCCATCGGCCCTGGTTTCCACTGTTGATCAGGATGCTCGTGGTGTTTGTACTGCGGTCCTCAAGCTTGTGGGAGCCGATAACTACATTGCCGACGTAAATGAGGTCCGGTGGCTTCCGCTGTCGGCTCGGCTCGCCGATGGCCAGCCCGACACATCCGCTGCTCGCTCCATGGTTGTGCAGTTCAAGCAGATAGTCTCCCGCGACTCGGTTCTCAGGCTCAAGAAGAGATCCGGAGAGTTGCTTGCCTCTGCGCTCGTGCCTGGTGCCGTTGGTAGCTTGAGACTATACGAAATGCACTCAAATTTTGTGCACGATTTACTCCGTAAGGCAAGAACCACAGCGAGTGCGCGCGGCTATCGTCATGTCTGGGCTCGCGACGGAGTGGTCTGCGTGAGGAAGTCGGATGGCGCCGATGTCATCGAGCTGTTAACGGAGTCGGATCTGGAGAGTCTGTTATGACTGAAGAAGGTAATTAAGCATCACCAGGATCGCTTGTCGGAGTTGCTCGACAGAATCACAATCATGCACATAAACATCAATTCACTCCGAGATCATTTCACGCAAGTACGTGATTTATTGACGACGCAAAACATCGATGTACTATCGCTGGTCGAGTCATGGATGACTCCCAATCTACCGTCGACAATGTGCAATATACCGGGCTACAAGCTCATCAGAAACGACCGTGGTTTATTGGCAACTGCAGCTAAGCGCCGACGCAAGCATAACCGAAAGCGAAAATTCAAATACATGCAAGGTGGTGGTATTGCCGTTTATATCCGCAATGGGATCCCTCATCGTATACTGCACGCTCCTCAGATAGTCACACTGAACGAGACTGAGTGCCTCTGGATGGAAATCGGCAGTGGAAAACAGAAGCTGCTCTTTGGAGCTGTCTATAGAAGACCCGGTGGCTTTTATTTGAACGAACTGTTCAGCTTCTATCGCTCGATGTGTCACCGTGCGTACTGCGGGTCGATCCTGGCTGGTGACTTCAACGTGGACTTGCTCTCGGACGAGTACGAGACTGCTCATTATCGGCACTTGGTCTCGGAGGCTTCGCTTGACATCGTGCCCTTTGGGGCCACACATCATGGCCTCACTTTTGACACCGCCATTGATCACATCATTGTAGACTCGCTCGATAAAGTCATTGCCAGCACCAAGTCCCCGACACCGTTCGCTGCTGCTCACGATTCCATCATGGTCGAATATGCGCTCGCTGCACCGTTGCCTCTCTGCAGTGTTGGCAAGTACCGAGATAGGCGTTGCGTTGCTACACCTGAATTTGCACTTGAGCTACAATCTGCTCTCACTTCGGCTCGTGAGATGTCGGACTTGAACGAGATGGTCAGTGCTCTTCAGACTGGAATGGTAGCTACTTTGGACACTTTCGCTCCCTTACGAGCTCGTTCCTCGCGCGCCACAGCGGCCCCGTGGTTCACGCCAGCGCTCCGGGATAGATGCAGGTTTCGGGATGGACTTTATAAGGCTTACAAGAGAGGTCGGTGTCCGGCTTTGTTGCAGCGGTATAGATCACTGCGTCGCGACATTAAGTGTGACATAAAACGTGCACGTGAGTCATATTTGATTGGTGGCCTGAGGCGCTGTGAAACGGACTCCCAGAGATGGTCTTATTTGCGTCGTATTGGCCTGTCTGGCCCTCAGCCGCCCTCACCACTCGGCTTCTTCACGGCTGCCAAGCTGCTGGATCATTACTGCACTGTGACAACTGCTCATCCGTGTTGCTCACCTGAACAGTTTGTTCGCATCACTGATCTAACTGTTGACGATGCCATACCAAGCTTCGAGTTCCGGCCTGTCCAGGAGACGGAGGTCCTGCTTTCACTAACTCAGGTGGCTGGTCGGGCGAGTGCGTGCTCTGGGGATGGTTTGTCCCTGTCTTATTTCAGCGACACTCTCTCGCTGCTCGCACCGTCTCTTACTACTATCTTCAACCTATCAATCTCAACCTGTCAGTATCCGTCGCTTTGGAAAAAATCAATCATCAGGCCGTTAAGCAAGGTGCGTGTGCCTCAATCACCGTCTCAGACTCGACCGATCGCCAACTTGGCGCATCTTGCGAAGGTTTTTGACAAATTGCTTACGGCACAGCTTACCGAGCATCTCGAGACCTTCAGTATGCTTTCACCAAGACAGTCAGGTTTTCGGAAGAATTTCAGCACGCAAACTGCATTGATAAAGATCACTGAGGATATTAGGCGGGGTGTAGAAGATGGACTCATCACCATACTCGTACTCTTTGACTTCCGGAGCGCTTTCGATACTTTGGACCACGCGACCTTGCTGCGAGCCTTAAAACTGCAGAACTTTTCGTCCACAGCGCTCGCCTTGCTTCACTCTTATCTGTCGAACCGCTCACAAGCTGTAATGGATGACGTGGGTGGCTTGACGGCCTTCAGAGAATATACATCGGGTGTTCCGCAAGGCTCCACACCCGCGCCTATACTGTTCGCAGCGTACATTGATGGGCTTACGCGTGCGCTTCGCCATTGCACGTCCACGCACATGCTCTTTGCTGATGATCTCCAGATCTATTTGCAATGCCCGTCGAACGAGCTTAATGAGACCGTGGCAAGGCTCAGCGAGGACGCACAGATTGTCTCTGATTGGGCACTCACGAATGGATTGAGTCTTAATGTTGCCAAAACTAAGGCAATCCTCTTTGCATCAAATCAATATCTCATGCGCATTGACCTCGATCGTGTTGGGAGAGTTAACCTGAACGGCACCGTCATACCTTTTGAGGACAGAGTTGTCAATCTGGGCCTGGTGATGACCCCCGCACTCTCCTGGGATGCTCACATCAGAGGAATTTCCTCTCGCATTCATGGAGTGCTTCATCGACTGCGTGCTGGGGCTGGCTTTTTGCCCGTCAACGTCAAAGAGATGCTTATTAACGCCTTCATCATACCTCATCTTGACTACGCTTGCCTCGCCTTCATGGACATCTCTGCCACACTGGATTTAAAACTCAGACGACTTCTAAACACGTGCATACGTTACATCTTCCAGCTCCCTAGAGACGCAGCACTTCAGCCGTACTACGCCAGGCTCGATTGGCTGCTACCATCTCAGAGACGCGACTATTTTTTAAACATGCAAACGTTCAAGGTGCTCAATGGATTATGCCCAGAATACATTTCGAATCTTTATCATTGGACGGGCGTGGAGGTCCGCAGATCTGCAAGAATCGCGGGTGGAGCGCCGACGATAGAGGTGCCGTTTGCGGATTCCTCCACCTTGAAGTCAGGTTTCTCGATTAGTGCAGCCAACTCATGGAATGCACTTCCTGCTCAGATACGGTCATCGGGCTCTCTGGCGTCATTCAAGAGCCTACTTGGGCATTACATGAGGAGACAACAAAATGCTCAATAATTTTTTATGTATTATTGCTTATTAATTGTAATCTCTCGTACTTATAGCATTTAATTTTACCTACACCTGTATATACTTTTAGTCATAGTGTTTGAATATGATGCTGATTAACTGTACCTGAATATCTGTTATCTGGCTTAATTTTTGCATATTTTTGTTTTACTTAGCTTATTTTATGCTTGTTTTATTTGTAAATATATATATTATTGTAATTTACTGCTAATTGCCATTCGGTCTTTCGACCTTGGTCAATAAATTGTTCAAATCAATCAAAAAATCTCTCTCGAATCGTATATACAGGCGGTATATACATCAGCTCCCTCGATACATATAAATGTTTATATACAGCAGAGAAGCAACGTGTGTTGCTCCAGCTGACTCGCTTCACTTCCTTCTTCTTTCCTTTTTTTCCTCTTCTATTACGTAAAAAAGTTGCGCGCCACGCAGTCGCGAGTGGGGGAGGCGCTTTGAAGTGCAAACACGTGTAGATGTTGCTTTTCTTCCTTTCTCGCACTCGCGAATCTAATAGAAATGTGACACGCAAGACTGATGCCTCGCGCCTCTCGCTCGCGACTGCCTGCGAGAATATGATGGAAAGGAACGCGCGCCGCGTATATATACATACAAAACGTAAACAAGGTTCCTCCTCGCTACTATATGTATATATACCTGCGGGGAGGTCGAGTCGCTCTAATGTTTCTTATATACTCGCGAGAGTGTTTTACGAGATTCGTTGCGCACACGCGATGCCGCCTTTTTCACGCTTACGCGGGGGGGTTTCACGCAAAAGTCTGTGTAGTGTATAAGCTACTGCACTTACGCAGCTGCATTCGTGAATTTACTTCGTCGGACCTCGAAAAATGTTGTTTTCGTACTTTTTTTTTTGTAAGCCCCCTAACGGCATGGAATGCGTACGTATATATACGCGATATTTTTCATCTCGCGCTGCATACTCCGAACGCGCGAGCGAGCTCGGCTGCGCATGCATATTTGGGTTACTTTTGTTGCTGTGCTGCTGCTGCATGTTTGGCAAAGGACGCGCGCGAGTATTGAAACAGCCTTGATAAATGTGCATCGTGCAGCTGTTGCTGCTGCTGCTGCTGCTGGGTATATGTATAGCATTTCAAGCATTTTTCCCGCGCTGCGCTGCTGCGAGAGATATTTAACGGATCGTTACGAAACGAGGCAAATTACTCTCGGGGTGAATATGTATATAACTCACCATCGAAATTTAGCCTTCTCGATGCGAACTACAGTATAAAATTGTTTCGCGAATTATTTTCGAATTGGTTTTGTGCTTATTTGACGATGTAAGCGATCGAACTGTAAACATCCTCGAGGTTCGATCGTTCGGACACGTGCTACACTTCGAGGATGCAGCTACACCAGAAAACAAATAAACCACCGTCGAAAGTTAATAAGCTGCGCGCAAATCGATCGGCGTGTATAACTTCGGCAAACAATCTCTGGCCGATAAGATGTACGACGATTCGTACGGACCGATCTCGCGACTGAACAAATATTTGCCTTTATTTTTCTCTTCTATATACCCGATATCATCGGACTCGAGACGCGAGAAAAGAAAAAAGCTTCGGTCGAAGTACGTAGCAATTTGTCGACTTATCGAGCCCCCGCACACACACTCGGGCTTTGTAGCTCTCTTGTAATACATTACAAGTTTATCTCGCTCTCTAAGGCTCTTTGGTTTATACGTTTACGTAAATCACTCGCGAATCCCGCACATTACGTCAAATTCTACCGATATCCATTAGTGCATTCGACTCGGGGACACGCACGCAGTCGGATCGACATTAATGACAAATCAAGGGTGACATTAATCAAAACACTGAAACTCTCGTCTGAAATATAACGTTATAATAACTTTGCTGTTGTTATTTCGAGCTGATACAGCCAAGCAAAAGACCGTAAACGTTCGACCTCTTTAATCAACTTTTCAAGGTTCCTTTGCCGCATCCTCTCTCGCTCTTTGGCCGTAGTGTACGTAATATGAAGCCGGCACTACCTATACACACACACACATATACCGGAGTTTCGGAACAAAGTCCGGACGCGCGGAAACTGTGTGACAGCGAGAGAGCCAAGCGAGCAAATTAAGTTGTCTCCCAGCAGCAGCGCAGCCCCTTTAATTCTGGATCGTCGTCGTCGTCGTAGTCGTCTCGGCAGTCTATAAATACAAAGTAGCGGCAAGCGCAGGAGACACACGGTACGAGGCAGAGACAGGCCAGGTATAGGTAGGAGTCATTACGCTGCCATAACTTTGGGTCAGTTCTTGATAAACCCGCGGCGAGCCATTAATGTACTCTCGGAACTTTATTATACGTACTCGTAAGGGCCGAGGGAGGGTATGGAGCGTAATCGCTCCTACGCCCCGTGGCACTATCGATATATCACATACATATTAAACGTACGATTATAGTTTCGCTCGACTTTTTCATTCGCTTTTTTTCTGTTTCTCGCTGCTACTGCCGTTACACAATAGTTTGTATATGACTTTCGCGTGCTGTATGTATACAGAGTTTGGGCGCAAACACAGGAGAGCCCAGCAGTACGGGCATTAGGTTTGCCGTACATACAAAGTAAAACCATCAAAACTTTCATGCGCCGAGAGTCCAGCGGCGCAGCTACGACGAAGCTGTATACATAGTAGAGGCGCAAAGTCGACGCAAACTTGAAATATACGCGTGCGAGGTGGACAATATTTTGAAAAAAAAAAGTTAAACAAAATCGCATAATCGAAGGACTTTTATACTCGCGTCGACGTCGTGTATATGAAACTTGTTTCACGCAGGAGAGCTCGGGCGGCGCTTGGAGTTCTTGTGCCAGCGTAGACGCTGTTTTCGGCATCGCTCTTCAGTTGAGTCACTGCTGCTGCTGCTGCTGCTGCTGCTGCTGCTGCTGCTGCTGCTGCTGCTGCTGCTGACGAGTCGGAGGATGCATTTTTCTACTCGAAGTTTGCTCGGCGCGTGTTTCTCTTAGCGGACCATAACTTGGCTATTAACTGGCTCGCTTAAGTTGTTTTTCATCGCTCGCTGTGCATTTACGATTCAAGGATAAAATGCAAGGATAGTTACTCTCCGGGGGGACGTTTGCTATGAGTCTCTAAAATGTTGTGAAGAAATACGTATGTCAAAATTTCCATATCTTACGAGTTTCCCAAAAATTGCGATTTGAAGAAAGAGAGAGCTTTGTTATTTTTCTGTTTATTTAGATTCTAGTTACTGTACGTATTGATGTACGTCAAGTTAGATGTGTCACCGCTAGGTGTCAAGCACAGCTATTAATTATCCACAAGTAAATAAGTAAAGCTTACGTAATAAGTAAATTGTACGTAATTTCCAGTATAGGAACCTGTATATGCGATTAAATCTGAATCATTGTAGGTAGGAAATATACTAACGATAAAAAGCTTTCGTTACATGCTCGCAATTTCACGCGATTACTTGGGCATCTGCACATAAGAAACCGATGAAAAGTAACGCGTCTTTTTCAAAAAAATTTTTACAGCCTCCGCTCTTGTCATTTTCAAAGTTAATGAAGCGAGCGAGCTCGGCGCTCAAGCAGCACCAACGGTATAACGGGTATGTACGCGGGGCAAAAATGATACGCGCGAATATAAAAGCTGAGCGAGGTTGGCCTTCGTCGTCGTACTCGTCGGAGCTGCCAGAGAGCATGGCCGACGTAGCACATAGAGGGAGAAAGAGAGATCCTCTTGCGGCGCCCGACCGCGCCACTGCAGCGCAACCACTCTAGAGGCTCGTAAAGATTCAAAGAAACGAGCCAAGCCCTAAAGCTCAGAGGAGTTGCACGAAAGAAACACACACATACACACACACAGACACGTCTTTACCCGTATATAATTTGAAAGAAGACGTGCGAGTGCTGAATACGCCGTCGCTTTCTCTCTTGCCTTATATGTACCGAAAAGCGGAAGATACTACGCGCACCGCTGCGGCTGCCTCTCTCTCTCTAGCGTCGCTTCGCTGCTTTTCATGGCTTCGTGCGCGGAACATTGTCTAATGGTTCAGGTAAATATTTTATTGAAGCAAAAAAGATGAAGAAGAAGAAGAAGAAGGAGGAGAGGAGGAAAAGGATGTTGATTTTTTCAGTGGTGGGCAGCAGCCAGCAAAGGCCTCGGATAATGCACGATGAGAAGAACGATGATATGTTTGGCTTTTGGGGATTGGTTATATCATTGGCAAAACAAGTAGTACGAGTCAAGGTGCGGTAAGAAGTTTTTTCTTATATCGAATTATTTAACTAAAAAGCAGATTTTAGCCCTGTATTCCAACTGGCTGAATGCTGTCGGTGTGCACTGCAACGATATACGGTCAAAAAAAAAACCTCGTACACAAAGCTAGTCGAATCCAATCGAAAATCGGCCAACATTTGTTTTCTCTGCGTATATATACGTACGTATACACGGCTCACTTTGTTTTCTCTCGGCCCGTCTTATCTGCTTTGCTCTTTTTTCTTGCGCGCTTGACTGTGTTTTTTAACTCAATCCCGTTTCGTTCGCTTTGAGCGCATATTTTTCTTTTGCCGCAGCGCTCCGCGTACTTTTTCCTACGATACATTTGAATGGATCGATCCAAACAAATTATGTTTCGCAACGATTTTTCTTCTTCTTCTTTTTTATTTTTTTTTTTTTACTTGTCGTCTCGAACTAAATTAGCTTCGAGAAAATCGAGCAGAAAAATGTATTACGGTACCATGACTCGTTTTGTCCAAATTTTCACTTACCGTTCTGCGAGCTTATCCAAAAATCCGAAGTTCATAGAAACAACCGTATAATTTAGTTTTTCACGCACCGTAAGCAAGAAATACCGCCCGACCCAAAAGGCAGGCTCAGAAAATTCACAGCACGCTCGCGCCCGTGCACCTCGACGCACTTAAATGTCCCGTATACTAAATTTTATGCTCTTCAATTTATCGCGCCAGTCTCGTTTTTTGCATATTATATAAATACGTTTACGCGAATG